GAGAGGAAGAGAGAGCTGTCTGAAGAGCAGAGGACTCTTGATCAACGAGACTATCATGTCCTCTGAAAGGCACACAAATCAAGGCCACCCACCACAAATTTCACAACGGTACTTCACTGATCCAATGAAATACTGCCTGCTAAGGTCTAAAACGTCAAATTCACGATGTATTAAGACCCAAGACCGATTTTATATCAACAATCATGGCTATTCCATATCTAAAATAATTTTCATAATATATTAAAGTAAGGCTTAATAATAATTAAAGTAATAACCATAAAAGTCGATTAATATGGAAAGAAAAAGTCATACAAAAGAGAGGTCTCACACGAAGGGTAATTTATGTATATTCCTGCCCTCAGTGTCTGGCGAGGGAGGCATGTGTGAGGTAATGTTATATGTAGAGTTGAGGGGATTTACGACTAAATAGGTTGTCTGTGTGTGTGTTTGTCTCTCTCTCTCTGTGTCTCTGTCTCTCGCTGGAAGTGTGTGTGTGTGTGTGTGTGTGTGTGTGTGTGTGTGTGTGTGTGTGTGTGTGTGTGTGTGTGTGTGTGTGTGTGTGTGTGTGTGTGTGTACACATATAATTGTACTCACTTATTTGTGCCTACAGGATTGAACTCAAGCTCTTGGCCCCCGGCTTTTCTAGCCGTTGGTTGTCTAATGCCTCTGGCTTCTGGCAGAAGTCAATGACTCCTGGCCTCTCTCTCTATCATACCAGATTTTAAAGTTATGAATAGAGTTAGCCTCTACAACCTGCTCCTTTAGGTCATTCCATTTTCCCACTGCCTCTCACGCTAAAGGAAAACTTCCTAACATCTCTATAACACACCTGAGTCTCAAGCATCCATCCGGGCCCCCTTGTTCTGTTGGTATTCATTGTAAACATTTCCTCTGTTTCCCGCCTTGTTAATCCATCTAAGTATTTTATACGTCTGTATCATGTCCCCTCTCCCTCCTCCTTTTTAAGGTGATCAGGTTTAGTTCCTTCAGTCTCTCTTCCTGCCTCATCCCTTGCAACTCTGATGTGACAGTACCGGTCAGTTTGGTCATGTAGACCTCTCCCACTCTCTTCCCCTCTCTCTCCCTCGCTCTCTCTCTCTCTCCCTCTCTCTCTCTCTCCATCACCCCTCCATTCCCCTTTAGATGTTTTCATTGGTCGAGAGGGAGTGCTTTGTGTCCATTGGCCAGGTGGTCAAATCCCCTATTAAGCCTGGTTTCAGCTGGTTGGCTGTAGGCCTAAAGAGGCGGAGTTTCATAGGACAGGGAACTATCAGGAGAATGCACCAAGCCATTATGACTATATAGCACTGGGAAGGGGTCAGGATAAGGATATGGGATGGGACGGAGGGAAAGGAATGGTGTCCCAACCACTTGGTGGACGGTCGGGGATTGAACGCCGACCTGCATGAAGCGAGACCGTCGCTCTACCGTCCACCGCAAGTGGTTGGTCAAACGGTAAGTTGCTATGTTATCGTTTCTCCTCTATCACTCTCTTCTTCCTAGTCTCTCTTTCTCCTCTCCTCCCTTGGGCTGGACGGTAGAACGACGGTCTCGCTTCATGCAGGTCGGCGTTCAATCCCCGACCGTCCACAAGTGGTTGGGACACCATTCCTTTCCCTCCGTCCCATCCCAAATCCTTATCCTGATCCCTTCCCAGTGCTATATAGTCGTAATGACTTGGCGCTTTCCCCCCTGATAGTTCCCTTCCCTTCCCTTCCTCTCCTCCCTCTCTACTTCCTCTTCCTAGTCCTCCTCCTCCTCCTTCTGACAGGAAGGGACAGAGTGGAGGAGATGGCTTCTTTTCCGTACGAGAAGAGGAGCCCTGATGGGAGGGGAACCTTCTTCCCTTCACCCCTTAGTGGTAGGGGGCCCATATTCCCTTCCTACCCTCGTGGGACTGTAACAAGCAATTGAAGATCACCTTAGGGGCCCTCAGGGTCCTCCTGGGCCCCCAGCGTGTATGGTCTGACCATCGAGGGAGGACCCCAAGACTCCTCCAGGGCCCAAGAGCTAAGGGTCGTTAAGAGGGGGGTCAAGGGGATTCAGATAGAGTGGGCAGACAAAACATATAGAGAAGGCTTTCAGGTTTTCAGGCTAGGCTGGTACAACAAGGACAGAGATCGACTGATAAAGATAATGTTCATAAACGAGACTGTTCGCACACGAACGACTCTGATGAAGACATTAGGTAACAGTGTTATCTTGAGGTTGTCTTGAGATGATTTCGGGGCTTTATAGTGTCCCCGCGGCCCGGTCCTCGACCAGGCCTCCACCCCCAGGAAGCAGCCCGTGACAGCTGACTAACACCCAGGTACCTATTTTACTGCTAGGTAACAGGGGCATAGGGTGAAAGAAACTCTGCCCAATGTTTCTCGCCGGCGCCTGGGATCGAACCCAGGACCACAGGATCACAAGTCCAGCGTGCTGTCCGCTCGGCCGACCGGCTCCCTGTGTCTTGTGGATCTGTCAACCAATTAGAGGTCGAGGTAGTCTCCCCCCCTCGTTAGTGCATACGTAATAGAAGGAGGGAACCACGCCACGGAGTCAGGGTATGGGGCCCAGCCTATAGGCAGAGCTGACTGTTGTGGGTAGCACATTGTACCCTGGGGTAAATATTCCCTCCATCGCACTGCACAAGTGGTGATTAAACTTGATATATGTATGAGAAAGTATGTGTACATATTTGTATAAGACAACATGTGTATATATTTGAATGAGTTGGGATGTGTGGATAACAGCAGCAGGAAGTTATGACGTCACATGTCAACAAAGGCTTTTATCCTGTGATGTCACGTGTCAACAAAGGATTTAATCTTTAACGTCACATGTAAACAAAGGATTTAACCTGTGACGTCACGTGTCAACAAAGGATTTAACCTGTGACGTCACATATAAACAAAGACATACACCTATGACGTCACGTACAAACAAAAACACAACTAAAGGGATCCACGTGGAATTGAGTCCTCTTCGTGCCCTCATTGGCTGGCACTGAAGCTCGTTATGGAGGGTATATTCGATTAGCTCAGGCGGCTTGTTGATGGACCAGGATGGTTTAGCAAAATGCTTCGTTGTGAAAAGGTACTAACGTGGTTGTATGTGCAGGAAAGGCAGCGAGTGTGTGTGTGTGTATGTGTGTGTGTGTGTGTGTGTGTGTGTGTGTGTGTGTGTGTGTGTGTGTGTGTGTGTGTGTGTGTGTGTGTGTGTGTGTGTGTGTGTGTGTATGTACTCACCTAGATGTGCTTGCAGGGTCGAGCTAGGCTCCTGGCCCCGCCTTCCAGACGTTCTTAGATTAATGCAATGACTCATTACCACTCTTTTTGTCATATTTATATTTACAATTCTGAATCGAATTAGCTTGAACAACTTCCGCATCTAACCTCTTCCATTTACTGACAACTCTAACACTGAAAAACGTTCTTCTCGTTGTCTCAATGACTCATTTGCGTCTCCAGTTCCCACCTATGGTCCCTTGTTCTGCTGCCGCCTCCTGACATTCTGTTCTGGCGTTCCACTGATTTAGGAAGATGTTTCCCCGGGGGTGAGAATTTGTGAGGTGGTTAACATGTGTGGGTTAACTCGGCAGATTCTGGTGTGAGAAGCTGGGGACCAGGAGAAGATGGGATATGGGGGAAGGGGGGGCGTGAGGGGTGAGGGGGGGGCGTGAGGGGTGAGGGGGGGCGTGAGGGGTGAGGGGGGGCATGAGGGGTGAGGGGGAAGGGAGGGTTGGGGGGCAATTGAATGGGGACAGGGGTTAATTGTGTTTCTATAATCAGGGGGGTTGTTGTATTCCTCTCTTGGGTTGCTGAAATGCTGGTGGGGGGTTTCCCACTCCCTTCTGGGAGTGATGAGTTGAGGAATGTGGTCTCCCTGGTTCTCTCTTCTCCCCCTGCACTTCTTCTTTGCGTCTGCTGCCATTATTCTCTCATCCCTTGTCATATCCCTCTGTACAAATACCTTTTGTATCCCCTTACATTTAACAATTGGCTCTTCTATGCTAAGAATTTCCTCCTTTGTTGTCTTGTTTATGAACACTATCTTTATCAGTCGATCTCTGTCCTTGTTGTATCAGCTGCCTCGTATGGACCAATAGCAGCTGCCTCGTATGGACCAATAGCAGCTGCCTCGTATGGACCAATAGCAGCTGCCTCGTATGGACCAATAGCAGCTGCCTCGTATGGACCAATAGGAGCTGCCTCGTATGGACCAATAGGAGCTGCCTCGTATGGACCAATAGGAGCTGCCTCGTATGGACCAATAGCAGCTGCCTCGTATGGGTCAATAGGAGCTGCCTAGTATGGGTCAATAGCAGCTGCCTCGTATGGACCAATAGCAGCTGCCTCGTATGGACCAATAGCAGCTGCCTCGTATGGACCAATAGGAGCTGCCTCGTATGGACCAATAGGAGCTGCCTCGTATGGACCAATAGCAGCTGCCTCGTGTGGTCCAATAGGAGCTGCCTCGTATGGACCAATAGGAGCTGCCTCGTATGGACCAATAGGAGCTGCCTCGTATTGACAAATAGCAGCTGCCTCGTATGGACCAATAGCAGCTGCCTCGTATGGACCAATAGGAGCTGCCTCGTATGGTCAAATAGGAGCTGCCTCGTATGGACCAATAGGAGCTGCCTCGTATGGACCAATAGCAGCTGCCTCGTATGGACCAATAGGAGCTGCCTCTTATGGACCAATAGGAGCTACCTCGTATGGACCAATAGCAGCTGCCTCGTATGGACCAATAGGAGCTGCCTCTTATGGACCAATAGGAGCTGCCTCGTATGGTCCAATAGGAGCTGCCTCGTATGGACCAATAGGAGCCGCCTCGTATGGACCAATAGGAGCCGCCTCGTATGGACCAACAGGCGCTGCCTCGTATGGGCCAATAGCAGCTGCCTCGTTTGGACCAATAGCAGCTGCCTCATATGGACCAACAGGAGCTGCCTCGTATGGACCAACAGACCCTCTACCGTTTATTCTAACGTCGTTCTGTTGTATTGCAGGAATGTCCAACGGGGCTGGTGGACGAGGACGGCTTCAAACGGATCTTCGCGCAGTTCTTCCCCCAGGGAGGTGAGATCCAGTGGGCTGTTGGTGTTGGCATTGTGTTTGACGCCTCAAACACACATACACACTTGGTTTTACAGTATATGTTGCCTTGTGCCTTTGGTTACAGCAATCTCAGATACCATATATAACCCTTATAGCCCCTTATAGGTCATACTTCAATATAGATAGCCATTTAGCTTTAGTCTAGGAGACTCGAACCGGGAACCCTAGACTGGGAAGAATAAATGTGCAACGTGCAATGGGTGTACCAGGCTTAGGCAACACAGCGCTCAAAACAAGCAATAGTGCAATTGATTGCCGAAGCACACAGGCTGCTTGCCTTGCGATGATTTCGGGGCTCATCGTCACGGCGGCCCGGTCCCCGACCAGGCCGAGTGTACTACTCTAGCAAGAAAAAGAAGACAACTCTAAAAAAAATAACTGATATGCTGAAGCAGACACGACTACGCTTAGAGCAGACACGACTACGCTTAGAGCAGACACGACTACGCTTAGAGCAGACACGACTACACTTAGAGCAGACACGACTACGCTTAAAGCATACACGACTACACTTAAAGCATACACGACTACGCTTAAAGCAGACACGACTACGCTTAAAGCAGACACGACTACGCTTAAAGCAGACACGACTACGCTTAAAGCAGACACGACTACGCTTAAAGCATACACGACTACGCTTAAAGCATACACGACTACGCTTAAAGCAGACACGACTACGCTTAAAGCAGACACGACTACGCTTAAAGCAGACACGACTACGCTTAAAGCAGACACGACTACGCTTAAAGCAGACACGACTACGCTTAAAGCAGACACGACTACGCTTAAAGCAGACACGACTACGCTTAAAGCAGACACGACTACGCTTAAAGCAGACACGACTACGCTTAAGCAGACACAACTACACTTAGAGCAGACACGAATACACTTAAAGCAGACACGATTACACTTAAAGCAGACACAACTACGCTTAAAGCAGACACGACTACGCTTAAGCAGACACGACTACGCTTAAAGCAGACACGACTACGCTTACGCAGACACAACTACGCTTAAAGGAGACACGACTACACTCAAAGCAGACAAGACTACGCTTAAAGCAGACACGACTACGCTTAAGCAGACACGACTACGCTTAAAGCAGACACGACTACGCTTACGCAGACACAACTACGCTTAAAGCAGACACGACTACACTCAAAGCAGACAAGACTACGCTTAAAGCAGACACGACTACGCTTAAAGCAGACACGACTACGCTTAAAGCAGACGCGACTACGCTTAAAGCAGAGACGACAATGCTTAAAGCAAACATGACTACGCTTAAGCAGACACGACTACGCTTAAACCAGACACGACTACGCTTAAAGCAGACACGACTACGCTTAAAGCAGACACGACTACCCTTAAGCAGACACGACTACGCTTAAAGCAGACACAAATACGCTTGAAGCAGACACGACTACGCTTAAACCAGACACGACTACGTTTAAAGCAGACACGACTACACTTAAATCAGACACGACTACGCTTAAAGCAGACACGACTACGCTTAAAGCAGACACAACTATGCTTAAAGCAGACACGACTACGTTTAAAGCAGACACGACTGCGCTTAAAGAAAATACGACTACGCTTAAAGCAGACACGACAACACTTAAAGTAGACACGACTACACTTAAAGCAGACACGACTACGCTTAAAGCAGACACGACAACACTTAAAGCAGACACGACTACACTTAAAGCAGACACTACCACAATTAAAGCAGTCACGAATACGCTTAAAGCAGACACAACTAAACTTAAAGCAGACACGACTACGCTTAAAGCAGACACGACTACGCTTAAAGCAGACACGACTACGCTTAAAGCAGACACAACTACGCTTAAAGCAGACACAACTACGCTTAAAGCAGACACAACAACGCTTAAACAGTCACAACTACGCTTAAAGCAGACACAACAACGCTTAAACAGACACAACTACGCTTAAAGCAGACACAACAACGCTTAAACAGACACAACTAAGCTTAAAGCAGACACGACTACACTTAAAACAGACACGACTTCGCCTAAGCAGACACGACTACGCTCAAAGCAGACTCGACTACGCTCAAAGCAGACACAACTACCATCCCGCAAAGAAAATCTAATCTAATCAGAAAGATGGAAGAAATAGACCAGCTGTTATAGCAGATTAGACCAATCCGAACAAATGAAATTGGGACAGGCAGCCTTACACGAGACACAGAAAAATCACTAATATTTTTTTCCATGTGAGAAATCCAAATAAAAACAAAAATCACTATTGGGTCTATACATGCAATTGAAGACACATCCACAGAGAAAGACAAAGAAATGTGTGAAATCCTAAAGAGACATGTGAGGCTATGTTTAACACCCCCCAATAAACAACATGAAATTTGATGACCAGAAGTTAAAGGGACGACGACGTTTCGACTTGAGAATGGTCCAGGACGGACCGAAACGTCGTCGTCCCTTCAACTTCTAGTGTGTGTGGTCTGGTCAACATACTTCAGCCACGTTATTGTGACTCATCGCCTGCAACATGAAATTTGATGATCTGGACAGCTTTTTGATGTTTAATATGACACTTCTGACACTTATTAAGTAATGTAAAGTACCAGTAAAGTTCCATCGTAATATGGAGAAAGATCCTGGGTACAGGGGAGATACCAGCAGCACTTAAATCAGCAGATAAAGTTCCATTGCACAAGGGAGGTAGTAAAACTTTGCCAGAATCAGTAAATCAGTCACACTAACATCACACATTAAAAGATTTTTTTGAAAAATTGATTAGAAATCAATTCTCTAGTTTTTTTGGGGGGAACAATGAACCTTATGGTCTATCAAGAACTCAAAGATGTTATCTATAAATGGCAGGACATTTATAATTGGGAAAGTTAATATAGAAAATTTAAGTCCGTTAATTATATGTGACAATAGAAGCATAGAACATAGACTATTCTACACCAACACTGGAACTATCCTTGGGGGCCTCGTAGCCTGGTGGATAGCGCGCAGGACTCGTAATTCTGTGGCGCGGGTTCGATTCCCGCACGAGGCAGAAACAAATGGGCAAAGTTTCTTTCACCCTGAATGCCCCTGTTACCTAGGAGTAAATAGGTACCTGGGAGTTAGTCAGCTGTCACGGGCTGCTTCCTGGTGTGTGTGTGTGTGGTGTGGAAAAAAAAATAGAAAAAAAAAGTAGTTACTAAACAGTTGATTGACAGTTGAGAGGCGGGACGAAAGAGCAAAGCTCAACCCCCGCAAAAACACAACTAGTAAACACACACACACACACACACACACACACACACACACACACACACACACGGGACCACAGAGCCAGAGCTCAACCCCCACAAACACAACTAGGTGAGTACACACACACACACACACACACACACACACACACACACACACACACACACACACCTCCATAACTCCATCTACCAAGACATAAATCAAAGCCGCCAAAATAAGTCCTCCAGGTCCCCCATTTATCATAGTCACTCCCACACTGTCATCAGGCTTCCGGAAAAGAAAACGGGAACTCCAAATCGAAGGCATAACTACCCAAAGAAGAAGACTTGGACGAAATAAAGTATTAATCTTATGTCAATTGTAGATACATATATAAAATCTACACATGAGACGAGCAATATAATGTAGTAGATGGTAGTGGACCCCATACTCATCCTGTGGGTGGTAGTGGACCCCATACCTATCCTGTGGGTGGTAGTGGACCCCATACTCATCCTGTGGGTGGTAGTGGAACCCCATACCTATCCTGTGGGTGGTAGTGGACCCCCATACTCATCCTGTGGGGGGTTATGGACCCCATACTCATCCTGTGGGTGGTAGTGGACCCAATACTCATCCTGTGGGTGGTAGTGGAACCCCATACCCATCCTGTGGGTGGTAGTGGACCCCATACCCATCCTGTGGGTGGTAGTGGACCCCATACCCATCCTGTGGGTGGTAGTGGACCCCATACTCATCCTGTGGGTGGTAGTGGACCCCATACTCATCCTGTGGGTGGTAGTGGACCCCATACTCATCCTGTGGGAGGTAGTGGACCCCATACTCATCCTGTGGGTGGTAGTGGACCCCATACTCATCCTGTGGGTGGTGCTGGACCCCATACTCTTCCTGTGGGTGGTAGTGGACCCCATACCCATCCTGTGGGTGGTAGTGGACCCCATACCCATCCTGTGGGTGGTAGTGGACCCCATACTCATCCTGTGGGTGGTAGTGGACCCCATACCCATCCTATGGGTGGTATTGGACCCCCATACTCATCCTGTGGGTGGTGGTGGACCCCATACCAATCCTATGGGTGGTAGTGGACCCCCATACTCATCCTGTGGGGGGTTATGGACCCCCATACCCATCCTGTGGGTGGTAGTGGACCCCCATACTCATCCTGTGGGTGGTGGTGGACCCCATACCCATCCTGTGGGGGGTTATGGACCCCCATACCCATCCTGTGGGTGGTAGTGGACCCCCATACCCATTTCGTGGGTGGTAGTGGACCCCATACCCATCCTGTGGGTGGTAGTGGACCCCATACTCATCCTGTGGGTGGTAGTGGACCCCATACTCATCCTGTGGGTGGTGGTGGACCCCATACTTATCCTGTGGGTGGTATTGGACCCCATACCCATCCTGTGGGTGGTATTGGACTCCATACTCATCCTGTGGGTGGTGGTGGACCCCATACCCATCCTGTGGGGGGTTATGGACCCCCATACCCATCCTGTGGGTGGTAGTGGACCCCATACCCATCCTGTGGGTGGTAGTGGACCCCATACTCATCCTGTGGGTGGTAGTGGACCCCATACTCATCCTGTGGGTGGTAGTGGACCCCATACCCATCCTGTGGGTGGTAGTGGACCCCATACCCATCCTGTGGGTGGTGGTGGACCCCATACCCATCCTGTGGGTGGTAGAGGACCCCATACCCATCCTGTGGGTGGTAGTGGACCCCATACTCATCCTGTGGGTGGTAGAGGACCCCATACCCATCCTGTGGGTGGTAGTGGACCCAATACCCATCCTGTGGGTGGTAGTGGACCCCATACTCATCCTGTGGGTGGTAGAGGACCCCATACCCATCCTGAGGGTGGTAGTGGACCCAATACCCATCCTGTGGGTGGTAGTGGACCCCATACTCATCCTGTGGGTGGTAGTGGACCCCATACTCATACTGTGGGTGGTAGAGGACCCCATACCCATCCTGTGGGTGGTAGTAGACCCCATACCCATCTTGTGGGTGGTGGTGGACCCCATACCCATCCTGTGGGTGGTAGTGGACCCCATACTCATCCTGTGGGTGGTGCCGGACCCCATACTCTTCCTGTGGGTGGTAGTGGACCCCATACTCATCCTGTGAGTGGTAGTGGACCCCATACCCATCCTGTGGGTGGTAGTGGACCCCATACCCATCCTGTGGGTGGTAGTGGACCCCATACTCATCCTGTGGGTGGTGGTGGACCCCATACCCATCCTATGGGTGGTATTGGACCCCCATACTCATCCTGTGGGTGGTGGTGGACCCCATACCAATCCTATGGGTTGTAGTGGACCCCCATACTCATCCTGTGGGGGGTTATGGACCCCCATACCCATCCTGTGGGTGGTAGTGGACCCCCATACTCATCCTGTGGGTGGTGGTGGACCCCATACCCATCCTGTGGGGGGTTATGGACCCCCATGCCCATCCTGTGGGTGGTAGTGGACCCCCATACCCATTTTGTGGGTGGTAGTGGACCCCATACTCATCCTGTGGGTGGTAGTGGATCCCCATACTCATCCCATGGGTGGTAGCGGACCCCCATACCCATTTTGTGGGTGGTAGTGGACCCCATACCCATCCTGTTGGTGCTAGTGGACCCCATATACTCTTCCTGTGGGTGGTAATGTACCCCCATTCCCATCCTGTGGGTGGTAGTGGACCCCATACCCATCCTGTGGGTGGTAGTGGACCCCCATACTCATCCTGTGGGAGGTAGTAGACCCCATACCCATCCTGTGGGTGGTGGTGGACCCCCATACATATCCTGTGGGTGGTGGTGGACCCCATACACATCCTGTGGGTGGTAGTGGACCCCATACCCGTCCTGTGGGTGGTAGTGGACCCCAGACTCATCCTGTGGGTGGTGGTGGACCCCATACCCATCCTGTGGGTGGTAGTGGACCCCATACTCATCCTGTGGGTGGTAGTGGAACCCATACTTATCCTGTGGGTGGTAGTGAACCCCATACTCATCCTGTGGGTGGTAGTGGACCCCATACTCATCCTGCGGGTGGTAGTGGACCCCATACTCATCCTGTGGGTGGTAGTGGACCCCATACTCATCCTGTGGGTGGTAGTGGACCCCATACTCATCCTGTGGGTGGTAGTGTACCCCATACCCATCCTGTGGGTGGTAGTGGAACCCATACTCATCCTGTGGGTGGTAGTGGACCCCATACTCATCCTGTGGGTGGTAGTGGACCCCATACCCATCCTGTGGGTGGTAGTGGAACCCATACTTATCCTGTGGGTGGTAGTGGACCCCATACCCATCCTGTGGGTGGTAGTGGACCCCATACCCATCCTGTGGGTGGTAGTGGACCCCATACCCATCCTGTGGGTGGTAGTGGACCCCATACCCATCCTCCGGGCGGATATAGTGGTAACCAGCAAATACTAGAGTTGTGGAAATTGGGGCTCTTAGGCACTCAAAAGTTCAATTAAGTAAGCACCATTAGAATAAAGAAACAAACACACACACACACACACACACACACACACACACACACACACACACACACACACACACACACACACACACACACACACACACACACACACACACACACACACAAAAGGCCTCACCAAAAGGCCTCGTATCGATAAGCAATGAACGGCAACTGAAATCTTAGTTTAAAGCGCGGGTGCAGAAGCCCGACTCACATGGGCAGCCACTAAAGAGGAACGACTATTGGCCGCCAGACAGTATGGTGTTGGTCGTTCAGTTAGAGGGACGGATCCCCTCGTTCCCTCACTGTCAACTAGTGCTGTCAGATGTACACATCTGTCTCATTTGGTGTGTTTAAGGCTTATATCAGCCTGTGCTTGTGTGGGTCTGTCAGGGCTCTGGAGGGTTAATGTGGTTTAATGAACCTCTGGAAGGTTATTAAGGCTTGTCAACCTCTGGAGGGTTATTAAGGGTTGTCAACCTCTGGAAGGTTATTAAGGCTTGTCAACCTCTGGAGGGTTATTAAGGGTTGTCAACCTCTGGAAGGTTATTAAGGCTTGTCAACCTCTGGAGTGTTATTAAGGCTTGTCAACCTCTGGAGGGTTATTAAGGCTTGTCAACCTCTGGAGGATTATTAAAGCTTGTCAACCTCTGGAGG